CTTTTTTTTTTGAGGGGTTATCTATTTTCAAACACCACCATCCGGAACCTGCCTGAGAGATACGCTTACTACCACTGCTACTCAGTGCCTGTGATTCCCCTTCTCCTGGATGTTCAAGAATGATTCCATGTTCAGTGGTATTAAATGACACTGAGACAAGCACCAACAGGGTCACACGCCCTCTCAGTGTAAAGACAGAAATCACCCACTAAGGTGACCATAGCAGTCCCAATGCCATATCCTGCTCTGAAGCTGGTTCAAAATGGGTCAGAGATGTGTGCATCATCCAAGACTATCTGGAGTTAGAAGACAGTTGCCTTCTCAACCATCTTGCCCCAAAAAGAAGATTAGAAACTGGACTGTAATTATTAAGATCCAGCTGATCCAGAGAGGATTTCTTCATCAGTGATCTAACAGTTGCTTCTTTTAAACATGATGGAAAGTTCCCGTCCCTGAGAAATGCATTAATGCATTTACTCCCTGGATGACCTGCCAAGAGTAGGCAGGGATCGAGAAAATTTGCCCCAGTAACTTGTTTACATCAGCAGTACTCACCACAATTGAAACCAATCCAGTGCAATCCCATTCATGGAATTATCTGGGTACCTTGTTGTTGTACGATGTTTTGATTTGCGTCCCATCTCCAGGATTATGTATAATATGCCAATATGGCAAAATCCGAAAAAGTCTAGATTATAGAACACTTCTGGTCTTGAGCATTTTGGATAAATGATACTCAACCTGTATCAATGTATTTCTGAAAATGAGATGAATTATTCCAGTTGTCTACTCTGTAACATCCTTTGACTGATCACATTTCTACTTGTGTCACTTTGTAGGGCTCTGTTATATAGGAGGGAGCTTTTTACCATAGTAGTAAGAGAAGCTCCATGCATACTGAATTTTGGCAGTGATGATAGAAATCTTTGGTGAGAGCTTCAGTGTATCTGGGAAGTTGCTTTCCCTGTTTTTGGGTCTCCTTTGGAGTCTTTGGCCCTTTCTACAACTGCCATATAATCCAGACCATCAAGGCAGATAATCCACATTATCAACTTTGAACTGGATTATCTGAGTCTACGCCAGATAATTCAGTTCAAAGCAGATAATGTGGATTTTATACAGCTGTGGAGAAGGGGGCTGAGGACTCTTCTACACAACCCTATATCCCAGAATATCAAGGCAGAAAATCCCACATTATCTCATAACCCAGTTCAAAGCAGATATTGTGGGATTTTCTGCCTTGATATTCTGGGATATAGGGCTATGTGGAAGGGCCCTGAGTTGATATTTGTTTAAATCAGGAAAGGACTTCTGCTACCTTTGAGATGTAATTGAACTTCCCATTTCCCAGGATGCTTCATCATTGACTGTGTTGGCTAGTGCTACTGAGAGCTGTAGTCCACCAGCATATTGAGGGGGCTCTAATATCCCCATCCAAGCATAAACACCCCATAAAAAACACATTCAAGACATAACATGTATGTAATGCAAGTTTTAGAGCATGGTTTGTTTTAAGGTCTTGGGAGTTATTTATGTCTTTGGCAACCTTTCTCTGTCAGCAGGCATTTGGGGAAAGATAAGGGGCATGTTGCTGGTGAGGTATGGGTGGGACATGGGGGAGGGGGATTGTGAGATTTAAATGCTATTGTAAATGTATTTATTACATTTTAACTACAATGTAACTTGAACCCACCCTGTATTATTGGTTGTTTTTTTAAAATGTACTTATTTTGTTTTAAATTGTGACCAAAGTATGGTATTGTTACCTTTCTTGAGTCCCCATGGGGAGAAAGGCAGGGTATAAAAAAGTAAATAAATATATCTTAAGACGTTAAAGTTTGAAATAATAAAATGCATGTGTTTTATATGGTGTATTCTTAGGTATAGAACAACAGTAGTATCTGGAAGCTTGTGTAGCACTAAGGAGGATGGATAAAATGGATCCTTTGAAAACACAAGTGCCAAATAAATAATTTGATTTTTAATGTGTATAGGATTTTTTAAAAATTACTTTTAATATATAAATTTCCTTTTTATTCCCTTTTAAAAATTGGAGTTAAATCTTATTTATTTATTTATTTATTTATTTATTTATTTATTTATTTATTTATTATTTCAAAGTTTATACCGAGCAATGGCAAGTCAGTGTCAGTAAGGCAATGTTCTGGATTTCAGTCCAGACATTAAAGAGATATCCAGGGTGCTGAATCCACCCCTTAATAGGTTTAGCATATTGGAAAGTTTCTTTAAAGTGCAACATGAAATGTTGCTGTGGAAGCACTATCTGCTATAGTTTTTAAGGTTGGTGTATGTGTATTGGTTACTAAAATTTTAAAGAGTTACAAAAATTGAAGTTTAAAAAACTTTTTTAAAAAAAGAGCAAGCCATCTAATCTCTGTTCTTTCCATACTCACCACATCTTGCTCTCTAAGACTTTCTGAGTCTGTTGTTTTCTCTGTTCCCTCGGGGTTTTGTGTAAAGACTCTAGATGTCCATGAGAGCTGCTGCAACAGCATATATTTATTTTTAAAAGATGGCTGTCAGCTAGCAATGCTGCAACAGCAAGTCTCAAACATTTATGTAATATTTAAAAATTAGTTTAATGAGTTATGTCCAAAATTCAGTTTTTAGTCTCTTTTTACAGTATTTATTTATCATGTCAGGGGCAGCCAGACAATTGTATTACATTTCTAATAGAGCAAAACAAACAAACAGACAAAACACAAAATTTGCAAGCTTGGTAGTTGATTAAATGTCCTTTGACCAGTATCTGGCCATTTGGAGTGTCTCTGGTGTTGCCGCAAGAAGGTCCCCCATTGTGCATGTAGCAGGGCTCAGGTTGCATTGCAGCAGGTGGTCTGTGGTTTGCTCTTCTCCATACTCGCATGTCGTGGGTTCCACTTTGTAGCCCCATTTCTTAAGATTGGCTCTGCATCTTGTGGTGTCAGAGCGCAGTCTGTTCAGCGCCTTCCAAGTTGCCCAGTCTTCTGTGTGCCCAGGGGGGAGTCTCTCATTTGGTATCAGCCATTGGTTGAGGTTCTGAGTTTGAGCCTGCCACTTTTGGACTCTTGCTTGCTGAGGTGTTCCAGCGAGTGTCTCTGTAGATCTTAGAAAACTATTTCTTGATTTAAGTCGTTGACGTGCTGGCTGATACCCAAACAAGGGATGAGCTGGAGATGTCACTGCCTTGGTCCTTTCACTGTTGGCTGCTACTTCCCGGCAGATGTCAGGTGGTGCAATACCGGCTAAACAGTGTAATTTCTCCAGTGGTGTAGGGAGCAGACACCCTGTGATAATGCGGCATGTCTCATTAAGAGCCACATCTACTGTTTTAGCGTGGTGAGATGTGATCAGAACCTAAAGGAAGTTTTAGGCCAGTGAGTATGTGAATCATTGACCTATTGCTAATATATTGAAACTAAGTCCATAGTTTGACTTGAGGCAATAGATATATTTCCTAAATTAATTCAACAGTACCATTACACACATAGATGTTGTAAACTGTTCTTTTGAGTTTTAAACCCACATTTTAGTGATGAGATATGCACCATGTTAAAAAAATGTTAGGAAGTATTGGGAATATTTCATTTTAATCAATGAAGGCTTTTTCTTGGCAATTTAAACCTGACCATTCTGTAAATAAATTAGAATGAAAAATTTACAGTAAATGAAAGTAGTAGCACTTACTTCCCCCTACCCTCAGTTATTTTTGTTGCTATCAGCAGTGTTACTTTACAGAAAAAGGGACATGATAAAATGTTCATAATTTAATATGCTGAGACATTGGAAATGTCCTCAAAATGGAAGCACATTCTGAGTTAATTTCATGGTTTTGTTCAATTTTGTAAAAATAAAAATAGACAGTTGTTGGGAAGTGACAATGTTGACAACTTGGTATTTTAATTTTTTTTTGTAATACACCCAGGAGAGAATTTAATGGCCAGCAATTCCATGTTTTGTTTCGTTTTAAATTTAAATGATCTTTTCATTTGAAAGGCATACAAATTCTAAAGAAAACCTACTGTTTGCCTACCGTTTATTTTGTGTCACTGTGCAATATTTCTGAGAAATCATAATGTTTACATATATTTTGATTCCTAATTCTTTTGTTTGTTAGTTTTAAAAATTATTAGGCAACAAAATCTAATTCAGATTGAATACCAGAAAATCTAACATGAAGCTTTGGTGAATGAAAAAAATATTTTGGTCTCTGTGCCCTGTCAGTCTAAAAGGAAACCATAGTAGCATAGAAGTATCGCATTTAGGTGACATGGGTTTGCCATTGCCTTTCTCTGAGGTTGAGAGAATGTGATTTGCCCAAGATCATCCACTGGTCTGATGGCTTCGTGAAGGTTTCAAACCTTTTCTTCATTCAAGCCTTAGCTGAAGGCTGAAACCACCACATCATGCTGGCTCTTCCAATATAGTTACTGAGGCTTTATTATCCTGAACTAGAACTGAATAGCAAAAGCTTTCATTGTGGCTAAATCTAAGTATAAACAAACAAACAAACAAACAAACAAAAACCCCAAAGTATAAAGCAGTTTCTCGGTGCCGTTTTGTGTTTGGATCTCTGTGTTTTAAAAAGTAGCCATGGATTTAGTTCACCCTACTTATCCCAATCTGGGAGGAAAACTATTTAAATAGCTTCATGGGATAGGGATTGTGGCAAGAAGGAAAGGGTTGAAAACGAATCCTCTGGATGCAGATTGTGGTGTCCCATGGCTCTTTAAGAAAAAAATCAACGACCCATAATTACAGAATGAATTGGAAAAAAACTTTAACTATAATATTTAGTTTGATCCTCACAATGCAGGGATCAGTACAAAAGAGCTTACATTACCAGCAGGCCACTAGTTGTCTTTTTCTGCTACAATTTTCTGCATTCCTGTGTATCAGATACTGCCTCGAATGTGTGAATACTATAGTACTTTTTCCCAGTAGTTGGGTATTTTGTTTTATACTTTAATGGCTTAGCAAAGTTTGGCTATTTTTTGCAGGTTTTGGAAGAAAGGACGTAGTGGAACACTTATTGCAGACAGGAGCCAACGTCCATGCTCGTGATGACGGTGGGCTGATTCCTCTTCATAATGCCTGTTCCTTTGGCCATGCCGAAGTAGTCAGCCTCCTGCTGTGTCAAGGTGCAGATCCAAATGCCAGAGACAACTGGAACTATACTCCTTTGCATGAAGCTGCTATCAAGGGCAAGATAGATGTTTGCATTGGTAAGTGTGCCTTTATTCAAGTATTTTAAAATGTTAAGTGTTTATGGAACGCATCATGGTGGAGTAATAAAAATAGACAATAGTAAAACCATTAAGAAATCTATACAGATGTTTTAATATCACTTTCTGTGCTCTCTAGTTTTAAAATTGGAATTCCAATCTTAGTTTGACACCTACCTTTTTGATTAAAATTTAATTTAAATTAACAGTAAGGTTTTTTCAAACACAAAGAGGCTTTTTGCCTTTAAACTGAAACAAAGGGTGATACTGTATTTTTTCCACTCTAAGACACCCCCCCCCCCAGACATCTCTAAAAATGGGATACGTCTGAGAATCGTGTGTGCTTTTTTGCATATGTAATTAAGTTTCTTTTCTTCTGGTACTGAAACTAGTGTTCATTTTACAATTGATGGCATCCTAGATTCCACCAGAACATTAGGAAGAACTTACTGACTGTAAGAGCTGTTCAGCAGTGGAACTCTGCTCAGTTGATCAATCTTAAGTTTTGTCCCTATGTTGTCCTTTTATTTGTCTAGTTAATATTGCAGCAACCAGCTATTTATCTCTGTTCCTCTTTAAGTGGTAAAATGTAGCAATTATTTTTGTTATGAAATAGTAGAAAATCTAGTGAACCGTGGTCCTTGTTTGTTTTATGTTCCCATATTCTTGTAGAAGTTTTCTGTTAGATATATTTCTTCACTTTAAAAATGAAGAAGGTGGGGGAAGGAGAATGATTCTCACTTTATGGGATTTTCAAAAAGAAAGAGAAGTAGCTGTAGATTCTGTGTTAGCTGTATGTAACTTCTTTCTAGAGTAAAATACTGCATAATGCTCTGCATGACATTGCAGTTTGAATTTTGAGAATTAAATAGCATGCCGTGTTTTTCGAGAAGGGTGATAGCATATATGAAATAAATCAAAATCAGTATTTTTGGAGATGCATAATCAGCAGGAACCTCATGTGTTTTTAATGCATCTATACTGAAGAATGAATGCAGCTCAAAACACTATTTTAACAACCCTTAGCTTTCACTGACAAATAGTACTGGTGCCTCACCAAACTACAACTCCCAGGATTCCATAACATTGAGCCAAGGCAATTAAAGTGGTTTCAAACTGCATTAATTTTACAGTGTAGATGCATCTTTAGTTGTTTCACTGTTACTGTTTGTGGTAATAGCAGCGCAGATTTTATAGTCTGAATATTGTTTTGAAATACTGTGTTATTTGTTAACCCTCTACTGACAAATAAGTTTGTAAAATTGCTATATGGTGTGTGTGTATATAGGGGGGGGGGGAGTGGGGGCTGGTATGAAAGTGTTGCCTGCTGGCCATAAAATGTCCTGACCAACTTTTTGGGTCAATTGATTTATTTTACTCTTTCACATCTTTGAGCAGACCTTGCTAATTTCACCTTTGTCTAATAGCAAAATAGTGTTGAAATAGATATCCTAAAGGGAATTATAGGATATGTGCACCTGAATAGGGAAACCTGGGTGAGGTTTTGGATGTGTAAAACTGCAAAACCCGTTAGCATACTGATAGATTTGAATGCTAGAAATCAGTTTATGAGACTGGTCTGTACTGAATCGAGGCAGAGGGCAGTGGGCAGTTGTCTGTGTGGAGAAACATGTTTTTGTCTAAAAATTACCTTGAACAAAAGCAGCTCTTTGGAGTATGACCTTTATTAAAAAGTAGCAGTATATTACTTTTGTTCAAAATGTGGTTAATGTGTGCATTTGTGGCAAGTATGCATACCCTGTGTGCCAGAGATTTGAGAACTGTTCCTTTTTCTTTCACAGTACTGCTGCAACATGGAGCTGATCCAAATATTCGAAACACAGATGGAAAATCAGCATTGGATCTTGCAGATCCTTCGGCAAAAGCTGTACTTACAGGTGAGAAGTACCTGGGTTATTGTTACTTCAGCATGTGTTACCAATCTCTTAAATTTGAAAAAATAACTAGATACATAACATGGTTTGTTGTGTAAATGAGCTGCATATTTTAAGAAAGTGTGTAGCATTCTGCTACTACTTTGCAGTTTAATATTCCTGCCTGAATTACATACATATGCATTTATGTTCTGATATTGAAAAGATGCAGTAACACTTTCTGTATGTTTTTTCCAGAGCTTTTCATTATGTTAATTTTCTAGAAAACATATAACCCTTTATAGCTCTTTAGTGCAGTTCATCATTTTTAGTCCTATATAATAATAATGATAAGACAGGATAGCTTGGAGAAGATAATGAGGCTGGGGAAAATGGAAGGAAAAAGGAAGAGGGGCTGACAAAGGGCAAGATGAATGGATGTTATTCTTGGTGATTGGCTTGACCTTGAAAAAGCTGGGGGTGGTGACGGCCCACAGAGAGCTCTGGCATGGACTGGACCATGAGGTCATGATTATTATTATTATTATTATTATTGTTATTATTATTATTATTATATATGCCCTACTTTATCTCTCCGAAAAGAGACTCAAAGTGGCTTACATTAAAACTATGACCACATAATTTAAAACATACAAATATAGGTAAATGGCTAAAGGTTGCATGACACAATTCAGTGTCATGCAACCTTCAATGGTCTGAGGAAAAGGTATCTCTTGCATGAAATCGAAACCTATATCGTAATTTGTTATATAAACGAAATAGACAATGAATAATTTGCAAAAAATAATTTGCTAAAACTAAAACCTGTGATCATCTATAATGCATGAAATATACACTTTGGTGTTTGTTTTTGATGTCTCTATTATTCTCAAGAGGTTTTTATTGCATGAGAAAAGAAATGTTTGATGCTTTACTTTTCTCTACTTTGTTCATTTACTCACTTGCAAACATACTCAAGACTTACAGAATAGAAATGGAATACTGTCTATCATACACGCAAGAAAGATATAACCGTTTCCTGGAACTCCTCATTAAAAAATGGCTCTTATGATGAATGAATTCCCAGATTATCATTTTTCTTGTTTGAGTTGAGAAATGTGTACCATTCTAGAGATGCATCCTAGAAAGACAGTCCTAGAGATGACATAGGATGAATTGGTTGGCAAATAATTTTTCTGTTATGGAATCTCACATTCTAGAGCAGGAGAGTGTACAGAAAATAACAATTACAAACAAAGTAATCAGTGGTCTAGAGATCCTCCCTATGGGAGAAGATTATTACTTTGGGTATTGTTAGGGGGTTTTGCCATTTCACATCATACTAAAATATTGGGTAATCCAATGAGGCTATTTATTCATTGAATTTATAATCAAATTTTCTCCCAATGCAGCTCATAGTATAAATTAAAACTTAATTGGTATAGCCATGGATAATCCAAAAAATAAACCACAACAAATAATCATATTAAAAACATTTATTTAAAGCTTTTAAAATCATCAAAAGTTATCATGATGAAAACACAGCAATCAGTTAACAACCAATGGTGTGAATAAACAAAAAAGGCCTATGATCAGTGGCAGAAAGCGATGGAGGAGACAACCAAGTCACATGCAGGAGGAATTCCTATATGCTGAGCACAGGCACCAAAAAGACTATCTCCCATGACCTCCCTAAATATGTCCAAGAAATGCCCCTCTGAGGATCTCAGACCTCAGGCAAGCTTATATGAGAAGATAGGATCTGTATGATGTGGCGCTTTATAAGTCACTTTTGAGTTATGCCTGGAAATGAATTGAGAGTCAGTGAAGCTGATACATCAAGGGTGTTACATGTTTTCTGTTACCAGCCCCAGTCAGCAGCCTTCCTTGTCACAATTCGGACCCGTTGCAGTTTCTGAACAGTTTCCAAAAGCAGCTCCCCTCATAAACTGTATTGACAGTGGCCAGATTCACATCTCAAACTGAAGTGAAGTGAAATAACCATTATAGTTGGTGAACAAGGTTTAAATCTTCATACTTACTCCTGGCCCCTACCGAGATGTTAACCTTAAGATTCAGTGCTGAGTCCAAGGATATACCCAAGCTGCAATCCCATCCAACACATGCCTTCCAAATAGTTCAAGATTGAGGACAGATAAAAAGAAACATTTTTTCACACAGCACCTATGGAATGCAACAATGGTCAACAACATGGGTAACTTTAAAAACCAGATTAGGCCAGCTCATGGATTATAAAACTTCAATTAGTTGCTAGACATGGTGGCTATCTATAGCCTCCAGTATGAAGGCAGATGTCTCTCAATACCAGCTGCTATGAAATATGAGGAGAGCTTTATTGCACTTGGTGCCTTCTCCTGGGGACTTCCCTTAGACATCTAATTAGCCACTGTGGGACTAGATAGGCCTTTAGGGTGATCCAGCAAGGCTCTCCAAGTGTGTTTCATTAAAGTACACGAGAACACATCTCTCTTTGTGAGTTAGTTATATGTCTTTGAAAATCTCTCTGCCTCAGGCATTTCCCAATTTTACTTTACAGACTGGTTTCTTTCAAGACTGAGTGATTAACCAGTGATCTATTGCCATAATGTTTCTTTTAAATTTTGGGTTTTTTAAAAAAATATTTACGTAGCACAAATGCATCAGCCCCTAATTTGACTTAACTAGAAATGTATTGGGTACAACACCTTTTTTAAAAAGATGAAGTTAAAAGAAACCGAATCCTGACAGTATGGAAGCTGTATGGATTGGTGATGCTCGGGTCCGGAAATTGGTTAATCATCCTGGTCTGAATGGGAAGAACAGAAGACCTTACTTCGAAAAAATGTTTATCCCATCACAGATGACACAAAATGTAGATGCTTGTGTTAATATTATAGGACAGCCATGTGATATTATTTAAAATAGGAGTAGGCTGCAAGTTAAGCAAAAATCCCCTTCTGGGCCTAGAATAGCCTGTGGGGACCAAAACCATGCTGAAATTCCACCCCAGGCACCTTAGAGGACATGAATGTGTAAGAGTATCTCTTTTTAAAACAGATTTTGACAAGACTCTTTCAGGTAGGTACATTATGGACTCTATATGTTTGCCATCATGTTTTAGTATAACTGGATGGTAGCAAGACTTGTATGCAGGCCTGTGATGTAGGTACGGCAGATCTTTCACTCCTCCATTTTTCTGCCTTTTTGATTTCTTGTTAATTGGCAAATGTTTATTGATTAGTAATAATTAGTAATTTGGTAGCACAAGGTATTACATCACCATCACATGAACAACCAGCTACATAGATTGATAGGACATAAAATATATATCCTCGCTTAATAAATAATAGCATAAATTATATCTTTACCATGTTATTTTCTCCCTCCCCACCCCCTCTCTCTAGAGAGAGAGAGAATTTTAAAACAGGAGTTGGTAAATTTCTACCAGCTCCACCCAAAATTGTGACTTTGCCTCCACAAAGTCCCAAATTGGACTTTTGCTTAAATAAAGAATTTTTTATTAATTGCCATTTTTGTCTGTTAATATATGTGTAAAATATGTTTTTTCTTACGTTCTCATTCTCCCAAAGTGCAGGATTTTTGTTGCTGCTGCTTTCCTTTACTCCTATCCATGTGAAAGGCAGCCTATATGGATTGTTAGAATATTTTCACTGATGAAAATTACACTTAGAAACATTTGTGTTATTAAAAGGAAACATGACACCTCAGTTCCATTGAATTTAATAAAGATATATCAGATTGTATTTTCAGATTCTGAGGAACCTGTTTCTGGCCATCATTCTTTCTTAGTTTTGTGGGTTGTCGTATGAGCACTTTATGAACCATAGTTTGTAAATAGTGTGTTATGATTGGCTTCATTGTCACAAATTGCTTTACAGTAATTACAGGGAACAGGTATTACCATATGGTTCGAAATAGGGCCTTCTCCGTGGTGGCTCCTCGGCTGTGGAACACCCTTCCAACGGACATTAGACTAGCACCATCTCTAATGGTATTCCGCAAAAAAGTGAAGACCTGGCTGTTTGAGCAGGCGTTCCAATAATTAGTGCAATGATTGGTTAATGAACACTGGAATGGAACAATGGATGACGAATCTGGAACATGTTTTTGATGACGAGACGACAGTGAATGGGTATTGTAGTAACTGTTTATTAATTGTGTAATGTGTTCAGTTGTTAACTGTTTCTATACTGTAGCACTGAATTTTTGCTGTTCGTATTTGTTGTGAACCGCTGTGAGTTGCCTTCAGGCTGAGAACAGTGGTATATAAGTAAGGTAAATAAATAAATAAATAAATAATAGTTTGTTATTCACATGGCAAGTTTAGTGTCATTTGAAGAAAGGAATTCTTTGAACACAACTGTCCTGAAAAGGATAGATTTGTTAATATTATTCCTTGTGAAAACTACATAAAAGAATCCTTGTCCTTAAAGCTTGCTAATTATTTTGTTTCTATAAATTTGGTATACTGAAGGTAGATGTCATTATTTGCAGCAGGCTTTCGATAATGTAGAGCTGTAATAGAAACATTGCATTTGGGTTCCTCGGGATGTTGACATCAGAGACTTCCCAGTAGCTCAGGAGTGTCTATGCTTGGTACTTTTAAACAAAACCAGTAATGACAACTGTTTTAAGGGCTGTGAATATTAATATTGTCTCTTTGGATCCTCAGGAATTACACGTTGTGTGTTCAACAGTGGCCCATTAGAACTGACAAGCTGGGCACAAAATTGATAGCCATAACCTATTTACATTTCAGACTATGCAATTAGAGCCTATCATTCACCTTCTGAGATTTTTTATTTATTTCGTATCTTTTGAGATTTCATCATGTGAAATCCTGGAATAGAATTTGAGCTTTGTTCTTTTCAAAGAAATTCCTTGAATGTATTATCAGTTGTTTAAAATTAATCTTTCTGTCTGATAAAGGAATTGTTACTAAGATTCCACTTTGGAATCCATAATTTGAGCAAGGCATCAGACCAGACTTTTCTGGCAGCCCC